GCAAGAAAAAAGCCCCCCCGCTTCCCCCCCCCCCAACCTCCGGGCCACCCACTCCTGTTCTATCAAGCGATAGTCCCTACACTTTGCAATTTCTCGGATTGACAAAACTCTAAAAAACCATCTGGATGACCGACATAGGGTTGACAGTTTTGAATTTTGAAAAGGCAGGACATTAAAAAAAAGAAAAGAATAAAAACCCCTACCATCACCATCTTCCATAAGAGAAAAGCAGCTTCAACACCAAAATAATATACTCGCATAATAAATGGCAACCCCTGAACTGAATCAGTTCAGCTTGATGGAAAATTACTCCCTTGAGATTTTTTTTTTTCACATTTTTATCTTGTTCCTTGGATACCTCATCAGGGTTCCAGTGCATACACCAGCCTGAGGAAACCTCTAGATCGGGAGTGGGTAAATGACATCCCGCGTTTGCTCTCTGGTTTTGGCCCTCTGCCTGTTTTGTCAATAAAGTTTTATTGGAACCCTGGCCCACCACCTGTTTTATCAATAAAGTTTTATTAGAACCCTAGCCCACCACCAATTTTTGTCAATAAAGTTTTACTAGAACCCCGTTCCACCACCTCTTTTGTTAATAAAATTTTATTGGAACCCTGGCCTACCACCTGTCTTGTCAATAAAGTTTTATTGGCACTCAGCCCCGCCCATTTGTTTGTCTCCAGCTGCTTGGGTGCGCCAAAGGCAGAGAGGGGTGGCAGCTGCAGAGACCACACGGCCGGCCCACAAGGCTGAGAATACTTACTCTCTGGCCCTTTACAGAAAAAAAAAAAAAAAGAAAACATGTGCTGAGGGTGCACCTTTAAAATGCCTCCTTCAAAATAGCCAGGATGCTTACCTTTTTCTCTCCTCACTTCCACTTGAAGCAGCTTCAGGGACACACAGGCAACCAGCAGTAGCTCTGTCCCCCGGGAGCTGACGCCCAGACGTGCAGCCACTGCAGCCGAGCCCAGGGCCTCCGGGGCCTCGGCCAGAAGGTCAAAGACTCCCAGCTCACAGGCGGCGAAGAGAACCTCGGGGCAACGGCAGAAACCAGACTCAGCTTTAATTCTCTTAAGAACCACACTCAGACGCACACACCATGGGGAGGGAGCGTGCATCTGGAAGTGCTCAGGAAAACAGGGCAGTTCCTCAAAAAATTCAGCATAGCATGACCATAGGATCTAGCAATTCCACTGCTGGGTGTAGACCCAAAAGAACCAAAAGTAGGGAGCCAAACAGATAGCGTGGACACCCGTGTGTTCACGTGAAGCATTCTTCAAAATGGCCAAAAGGTGGATGCCACCCAGGTGCCCACTGATGGATGGATGGATAAACAAAATACCGTGTAAAAACAATGGAATATGACTCAGTCTTAGAAAAGACGGGAATTCCGATCCAGGTACAATGTGGATGAACCTTGAGGACATGATGCTGAGTGAGAGAAGCCAGACACAGAAGGACACATACCGGGGTTCCCTAGAAGAGTCAAATTCACAGAAAGTAGATGGTGGGTCCAGGGGCTGGGGGAGGGGGAGTCAGTGTTTAATGGGGACAAAGTTTGGGAAGATGGGAAAGTTCTGGACATGATGGTGGGGATGGTTGCCCAACAATATAAATGGACTTGATGCCAATGAACCGTGCCCTTAAAAATGGTTGAAATGGTAAATGTTATAGTATGTCTATTTTACCACAATAAAAACATTTATTAAATGATGCTTCCACCTTGCACCCAAGAAGAGACTGCTCCTGCTGTTTGAGGGGTTGAGCCCTAATCCTGCCCCATGGGAGTGGATGGATTGGTCCCCAGGGAGGGTGGGCGCCAGGGCCCGGTGCGGGCTGTCCCCCTAGGGGCAGGGGCCAAGGGGGTCATTCATGGGCTGGCCAGCCGGGCAGGAGCAAAGGTGTGGGAGCCTGGTAGGTCCAGGCCTCTGCAGCAGCTGCCCCCGCCCTGTCCGTCCACAGAAGCTCTTCACGGAACCTGCCCGGAACGGCAAGAACCTGTCCTGGGAAATGCACACCCCCCCCGTGAGGGACTCTGAGGTCCCCAAAGGGGACGCCCGAGGGATATCGAGGGGCACATGCAACCACGGGAAGCCACCACGTGAGTTTTCAAAATCCTATAATCCTCTCTCTGTCCCTCTCTGGTCACACTGATCACCTGGGAGCAGAAATTCGGGGGATGGGCGACAGACAAGGGCCTCTTCTGCTGTTTCATTCTGCACTGTTTTCATTTTCCAAACAAGGAAATATACGCAGGTGTCAGTGGTGTTCCCTACCTGCTGGTGTCAAGAGTCTTAAGATGGTTTATTTTCTCTTTTTCTCTCTCCATCTAAAGAAGTGAATAGGGTGCCTCCAAATAATACATAAAGGGTAAAAAAAAAAAAAATGAATAAACCATCAATGCATTTTTTTTCCCCTCGCACACATGGTTTGGGATAATATTGGCCATGAGAGGTGGATCCATAAACGCCCCACAAGGAGAGACAGATTTTTTTTCTTTTTTCCAGAATTGTACCCTAGATTTCAGGTACAATTTTTATTTTTTATTTTATTTTTTATTTTTTTTTAATTTAAAAAAATTTTTTTAATTTTATTTTTATTTTCTTGAACTAGAGTTGATTTACGTCACGTTAGTCTCAGGTGTGCAGCGAAGTGATTCAGTTTTATATAAAAGAATACACGTATACATTCTTTTTCAGATTCTTTTCCCATATAGATTACAAAATATTGAGTGTAGTTCCCTGCGCTATACAGTAGGTCCTTGTTGTTTATCTATTCTTCATTTTTAAAAATTAAAAAAAAAAATTTTACTGGCCTAGAGTTGGTTTACAGTGTTGTCTTAGTTTCGGGTGTGCAGTGGAGAGATGGTTTCTTGAGATAATGTGTTTCCCACACTTACGATTAGGCTTGTTTTAACAGCAGAAAAATAAGACCTGTGTCTATGTTAACTAGGGAAGCTGCTGCTTCCCGACCCATGATTACACTGGAAAGCCCTCCAAATGCATGCGGGAGAGGGGAGTGCAGTACTATTGTGTTAATTCCTAATTCTGTTATTAAGGTTCTAGTAACTGTTATCCTATTAAGGCAGCGGCGCTACCGACGTGTGGGGCTGGATCAACCTCTGATGTGGGGCGTCCTGGGCACTGCGGGGTGTGCAGCAGCATCCCTGATCTCCACCCACCGGATGTCAGGAGCTCCCCTCACCCCTCCCCAGCTGTGACAAGCAAACATGTCCCCAGACACTGACAAGTGTGCCCCCGGGGGCACAGTCCCCACTTGAGAACCATTATATTAAAATAAAGTTCCATCGACTCTCACTCCACTAAGATTATATTTTATATTAACTCTCTCATTAAGATTGTATCCATTCCTATTCCCTTAAGGTTGCATTAACGCTTATTTTATTAAGACTGAATCTACTCTTCTAAAGGTACTATTGGTTGTTATCCTATTAAGGTCGCATGAACTCTTACTGTATTAAGGCTGCACTAAGTTTTATCCTATTAAGATGGTATTAGCTCTTGTAGCGAGGCTGTATTAACTCTTGGTATAGTGAATGGCAATCACTGTTGTTCTACTGAGATGTTATTAACTCTCATTCCATGAAGGTTGTATTCAGATTTTTTCTATTAAGGTTTTATTAAGTCTTGCTCTATTAAGGATGTGTTAAGGTATATTCTCTAAAGATGGTAATGGTTCTTCTGTTAAAGTTGTGTTGACTCTCGCTCTGTGAGGCTTGCATTACCTCTGACCCTGTTATGATTGTATGAGCTCCTGTATTCAGGTTGTGTTCACTCTTTGTGTGTGAGGATTTTACGAACTCTTATTCTATGTGGGGCTGTAGGTACGTTTTATTCTCTTAACGTTGGATGAACCTCTTGTTGTATTGACGTTCTGTTAACTCTTGTCCTATTAAAGTTGTATTGTTTTATCTGATTAAGAAGGTGTTAGCTTTTACGTAGTGAGGTTGTATTAACTTATTATAGTAAAGCTGTAATCACTCTTCTGTTGAGAGGTTATTGACTTATGCTTTTAAGGTTGCATTCAGCTTTATTCTACGGAGATTTTATTAACTCTCTCGTTCTGTTCAGATTGTATTAAGTTTTATTCTAGTAAAATTGCATCTGCTCTGGTTCTGTTACGGGTGACAGTACATGGCATGAAATTGCGTGTACCAAAGCGACTTTCCTCCCAAGATTTATAAGCCACCGAACGCCCTGTGAGCACGCAGCTGGCACCGAGTAAAGAGCGGGCAGCCCCAGCCGGCTGGGGACGGGATGGGAGCACAGCCAGGTCACGTTTTCAAGCCAGGGGAAGGCAGCAAGTTACTCTGTTTTCTGTAAGGTCCTCTTCCCTACATCTCAGTGGCGCTAAGATAGGTGTCTGAGCCCACGGGGGTCCCTGGGTAGCATTCGGGGGATCCGGAGCTTGGACGGGGGAAGACGCTTCACTCCCCTTTTCGGTCCACCCTTCCTGAATCTGAGCACCCCCTCGAGGACGAAGTCCGCCCAGACCATGCCTGTGTGACCACGTGGCCAGGAGGAGCCACAATGTCCTCAGGGGCACGACAGCAGCTGCAGGGACCGTGGGACCCTGCCGGCGGGCAGTGCCCTCCCTGAAGCCGGGGGTCTGGATGGACCACCAGCTGCAGACAGCGCCCCGTCTTGCTGCCACAGACCAGCACACCCCTCCCCTCCCGCCAGCGAGGCCAAGCGTGGGCATCTCTAGGCCCCAAGGACAGTCAGCTGCCACGTGGTGAGGCTGTGTGTTCTCAACAGTGGAGGCTCATTCGAGAAAGCCTGGAGGGATCGTGCTGTTTGCGAGACAGGCCCAGCCTCGCCCTCAAGCAAGCGGAGACTGGCCTGCCCCTACCTGCTTCCGAGCAACTCTGCGCACGGCGAGCTGCACCACTTGGACCCCAAAGCGAGGAGGACGGACTGGATTCGCAGTGAATCCCGCCGGAGGGCTGCACCCGCCGCTCACAACCTCATTCAACACACCTGCCACCCCTGTCGCTCTACAACACAAAATCCAACTCCAACTTCCCTCCAGTTTTCACTGAAGCAAAAATTCAAGTAACACAAGGATCACCTTTAACCATTTTAGACTAAACAGCTCAGCGGCGTTTAGCACATCCACAACGTTGTGCAAGCACCACCTCTATCTGGTTCCAGAACCTTCTCATCCCCCCAAAGGACACCCCTTCCCTATGAGCTGTCACTCACCATCCCCCTCCCCCAGCCCCTGGCACCACAAACCCCTTTCTGTCTGTCTGATTTGCCTGTCCTGGACGTTTCCTATAAACAGAGTCACACACCCTGTGACCTTCTGTACCTGCTACGTTCACTGCACATAATATTCATTCAGCCACGAGAAGGGATGAAACACGTCTACTACATGCTGGGTGGACCTTTCAAAGCTGCCTCGATTTTAAACGCATCACCTTGTGTTTAGGGTGTAGCAGACGAGCACCCGTATTCCTCGATCACAAAGCGTCTGAAATAAGCTGATACCTGTATTCCAATAACCATCATTTCCTTTGTATCTTATCTAGTTCAGATTAAGCTTTACATGAACATCATTCTGAGATGGAGTCCATGGGGGTCAACAGATCCCCAGAAGGGCCCCAGGCCCCGATGGCCAAGCTTCGGCACACAGGCTTGTCCAGAGTTCCAGGACACTCTCAGCCCCCCGGAGAGCAGACAGCGCAGGTGGCAGCCTCGGGCTGCGTGTGCGCCCGGCCGCCAGCTCTCAGAGCCCCTACCCGGGCGACCACGAAGGCGCTGGGACATCCCCCCAGGAGGCCGCAGTCCTCCTCCCCAGGGGGACACGTCTTCCCTCCAGGCCAGCCTGGCTTGGAGGCCCCAACGTCCCGGCTTCGGGAACCACGGGTCTCTGAGCAAGCTGAGGGGACGGCCAGGGGCTCAGTGCTGATGCCCCAGGCTCTTTGCTGGAGGCCCGGGAGTGAGCCCAACATGGATTATTTTTGAAAATTCCATCAGCCTGATTAAGGGGATGACAAAGCTTATGGGGACCCCCGGGGTTTCCACTCACTCCTTCTGTCCCTGATGAGCACACAGCCCTAAAATCACCTGCACCCGCAGCCCCTGCCCGCCCTTGCACCATCAGCTGTGGAACTGGTCCCAAACCCGTATGCCCGCTAATCCCTGGTGTTGATAACTCATTGGATGGATTGAACAGGCTCTGGGCCCTTCCTATGGGGATGGAGGGGGTGTATTAATTTTCTGGTGCAGCTGTAACAGATGACCACAAACTGGGGGGCTGTAAACCACAAACATTCATCCTCACCTAGTCCCGGAGACTAGACGTCTGAGGTCAAGGTGTCCCAGGGGCCGAGGTCCCTCCAGAGGCTCCAGGGGAGGGTCCTTCCTGCCTCTTCCAGCTCCTGGGGGCTCCAGGCGTCCCTGGGCTCGTGGCCGCGTCCCTCCCGTCTCTGCCTCCGTCTTCCCGGGGCTTCTCCTGTGTGTCTGTGTCTCTCGCCTTCTGTGTCTTAGAAGGACCCTGTCACTGGATGCAGGGCCACCCTCCTCCAGGAGGACCTCATCTCAGACCCTTCACTGCATCACATCTGCAAAGACCCTATTTCCAAATAAGGTCCCGTTCCTGGGTTCTGGGGGTTACGACAAGGACATATGTTTTGGGGGGGGGGGCATCATTTAATCCGCTACACCAGGGTGATCAATTATTTCCACTGGAGGCGTTTCAATCACCAGTGAACCGTGGTGAGCCATGCTAATCCCAGAGGAAGCCCAGAACCTGCCCTGAACCAGGTCCTGCCATGGCCCAGCCCCGCTGGGGAGCTGCTCCCCGCTTTTCCAGCCATTTCTGACGCTCAGGTTTAAACCCTCAGAGCCCAGATGGGGGCTGCAGCTCCCCCCCACCCCGCACCTGCCCCGCCGTGGTGGCCCTCCTTTTTCCACCCTGGACCCCGGCAAGCAGGACCTCAGTGTCAGCTGACCATGCCACGGTGGACAGAGCCTGAAGGCGAGAGCGACGGGGGACCTCTGGGAGGGACCCACAGGAGGCCAGAGGGACTGGCCATCGAGACCATTTGCTTGATTAAAACTTAAGCAGCCCTTTCTCAGCCAAATCCCCCTTGGCTGCAGGAACAATCCGGGATCTTCACTTAAGGTGATTAGTTTAGTAATGAGATTGAGTGACGGGAAGGAACCTATGGAATTCAAGGTCGGTGCTTGGATTTACTCTTCCAGGGGCAGAAAGTGTTACCGACCGGGGTTCTTGGCCTCCTTAATCGATAGAAATTGATCAGAGGCCAGACAAGAAATTCAGGCAAAGCTTTACTGGGGTCCCTGCTGCAGCCGGGGGTGGGGTGGGGTGAGGGGGTGGAACTGCTTGTTGGTTAATGGAATGTAATTATGATGAAAGCACTGTTCATATTTGTAAGATGATATTGACCTTTAAAGTCCTTTGCTAAGTCCTGTTCCGTTTCAGCAGTTCAGTCCTAGGAGGTTTTAGAAGAAAAGCTGCTTGCAGTCTGTGGGAGACAGGAAGGCCAGTTCAGGGGCTGGAAATCATTTGTTCATTTGTTTGTTCTTTCGGACAACATGCATAAGCCTTGTTGAACGGAGACAGTCTTAATTGAAAATACAAATCCTGTGGTGGCATAGCATCATTATCGGTTTCTGTCATTCATTTCTGGTTTTGTTTCCTGGCCAAGAAGTCCATTTTTTCATTTCTGATAGGCAGGGCTTGGGGTGGGGTGGGGGGGAGGGGGGCAGCGAGAACAAATAACAGGTGCCCTTGCCCCGCTCCCCGAGGAGGGGGCAGCTGGCTCCTTACACGGGGTGAGGGTAGGGGTGTGTCCAGGGGTCGGGCCGGAGGGGAGGCTGAGGGGGTCTGCCCACCCGTTTGGTGGTGTGAGTGCAGGGGGCATGCGCAGTGCCCTGCTTCTGCTCCCGGCTCTTCAGAGGTCACAGGTGGGTTTTTGGTCTCTTTGTATCTTTTGTCCAGAATCTGCCCCAACTGCGCATGCACGCAGTTATTTTTAGTCCCTTATAGTTTCTTTGTATTTTGCTGCTCCAGGAGAGGTGTGTCCAGGTGCAAGCACTGCAGCAGAGGGTCCCAGGTCCCAGCCTGTCTCAAAAGGACTTAGAGGCCACGAGAGTCCCAAGATGCCTGGCCGTGCTGAGCTGTTCATTGGACCAGCATCTGTCCTGCGCAGCCAGGCCCTCAACGGTCCCCATTTATACCGGCAGAAGGAAGACGGCATCCTGACAGAAGCCTGTTCTCATCGGCCAGAAAAGAATTTATGTTGACGACTGTCCTTTAAAGATGAGCCTAGGGGCTTCCCTGGCAGTGCAGTGGTTAAGGAGACTCCTCGCTTCCACGGCAGGGGGCTAAGATCCCACATGCCGTGCAGCGAGGCCAAAGAGAATAAAAGAAAAAAGCACACAGATATCCGCTGGGGAGATTGCGGGTTTGGTTCCAGGCCACCCCAATAAAACAAATATTGTGAGTCATAGCAATAACGTCAAAAACCATAGACACCATAACAAATAATTTAAAGGTTTGAAATGCTGCGAGAATGACCAAAATGTGACACAGAGACACAAAGTGAGCAAATGATGTTGGAAAAATGGCGCCAATAGACTTGCTCGACACAGGGGGGCCCCAAACCTTCCATTTCTAAAAATTCCACCATATGTAAAGTGCAGTAAAGCAAAGCATGACGAAACAAGGTCTGCCCATCTGTGGAAACTTAGGAAGAACCAGAACACCAAAGTAGCCTCAGGTGATCGCACGTACAGGCTGGATGAAAATGCACGGCCTGTTCTGGGCTGCGTGGCTGCCCTGCCTCTGTCTCCGGGGGTCCCTACACATCAGTGTTGGAGACACACATGTGCAGGGCAGGGACGGATATCCCCACTGCTCCTCCGCTTCTCAGTACAGGAGCTTGCAAACAGCCTCTTCCGCTTTCACTGCAAACAAGCACACGCGTTTTAAAAACATCTCTAAATCATATGGTCCAGTAAAACACTGACTGGTAAAGATACATGCACCCCAATGTTCACAGCAGCACTATTCACAGTAGCCAAGACACGGAAGCAACCTAAGTGTCCATCAGCAGAGGAGTGGATAAAGAAGATGTGGCACATATACACAATGGAATACGACTCAGCCATGAAAAAGAATGAAATCATGCCATTTGCAGCAACATGGTGGACCTAGAGATTATCATACTAAGTGAAGCAAGCCAGCCAGAGAAAGAGAAATGTCATATGATATCACTTATACGTGGGATCTAAAATATGACACAAACACCTATGAAACAGAAACAGACTCACAGACGTAGAGAACAGACTTGTGGTAGCCAAGGGGGAGGGGGGTGGGGAAGGGATGGAGTGGGAGTCTGGGGTTAGTAGATGCAAGCTATTACATTTAGGATGGATCAACAACAAGTCCTACTGTGAAGCACAGGGAACTCTGTTCAATATCCTGGGATAAACCATCACGGAAAAGAATATGAAAAAGAATGTATGTATATGTATAACTGAATCCCTTTGCTGTACAGCAGAAATTAACACATGGTAAATCAACTCTACCTCAATAAAATTTTATTTTTTTTTCAAATCTCTAACTTAAACGTAAGCACACATGTAAAAAGCTTTTGGCTTTTTAAACACTCCCAGGGCTGACGTGCAAGGAAGATGGAAAATCAGAGATTCAACATGGTCTAGTCATTAGGTGAGAAATGGTTGTATCAATTCCAAAACGTACATTAAAAAAACCCAAACACTTAACATCTCTGAAATTGGGATGTTGCACTGGGTTTCAACAGTCCCCCTAAAATTAGACTGTCCCCCTAAAATTCCTGGAACCTCAGAAAAGACCTTATTTGGAAATGCAGTCTTTGCGGGTGTGATGCAGTGAAGGGTCTGAGACGAGGTCCTCCTGGAGGAGGGCGGCCCTGCATCCAGTGACAGGGTCCTTCTAAGACACAGAAGAGGAGAGACACAGACACACAGGAGAAGCCCCGGGAAGACGGAGGCAGAGACGGGAGGGATGCGGCCACGAGCCCAGGGACGCCTGGAGCCCCCAGAAGCTGGAAGAGGCAGGAAGGACCCTCCCCTGGAGCCTCTGGAGGGACCTCGGCCCCTGGGACACCTTGACCTCACATGCCTGGCCTCCGGGACTGGGGAAGGATGACTGTTTGTTATTTTAAGCCCCCAGCTTGTGTCCATCTGTCACAGACGCTCCAGGAAACCCATACAGATTTCTCACCAGTAGCGGCGAGTCACGGATCAGTGGTGGACGGCAGGGTTCCTGTTTCAGAGGTGCACCCCGAACTCTGCGCCTTGCAGCGGGTGGGGTCCAAGGCAGAGGAGATACTGAGCTGGTGTAAGGATGACGCATGAGCAGGAGAGACGCCCCGGGCTGTGAGCCGCGTGGGCCTAAGCCTGGAGAGGCTGAAGCATGGCGGGTGGGCGGGGGCCACACCATCCTCTGCTCCCCCCGAAGGCCCAGGAGGACGGGGCTGGCCGATGTCTGGGGAGCTGTACACCCTCCAGTCCCTGAACCAAACCAGCCTTCTAAGCCTTTTCAAAGATCAAGGCGCCCAGGGAATTGTAACCGAGTAGGACCCTCTGGGGCCTTCCCGGGACAGACCCCTCCCCCATGCCCTCTGCTGTAGCTCCTCCCTAAAGCCCTTAGATAACAGTATCTGATGCACTTTTCCGGAGTTGTTCTGCAGAGGCTAAAACCACCACCGAGTGGAAGAAATTAACTACCTGATGATCATGAACACATAGCCCCCAGACCTCCTGGCACCTGAGGACTGATGACGTTAACCCCTGTGACCCTGTCCTGGTACCTCACCGTCAGTCAGTCAGAGAACTGTGCAGGAGCTGATCACACATCCTGGGACACGCCTACCGTGCTTTGCCTCTAAAGATGCTTTGCCGAAGCCCTTCGGGGAGTTCGGGTTTGTGAGCACCAGCCCTGTTCTCCTTGCTGGGCCCTGCAGCAAAGCTGCACTTTCCTTCGCCACAGGGGTGAAGGAGATTGGCTTTTCTGCACACAGGACCCGAGTTTGGTTCCGTTACAGAGTTAGACCAAGAACCCGGGAAAGGAGAAATCAAAGAAAAAGCCAAAACACCATATTCTTAGCTTTTTATTTGTGTAAAATGCACGTAACATAAAACTGACCATTTTAACCGTTTCAAGTAAACAGCTCAGAAGCCTTTAGGACTTTCACAGTGTTGTGCAAACATCACCTCTATCAAACCTTCTCATCCCGCCAAGGAGACCCCGTCCCCATGAAAAGTCACTCCCCCTCCCCCAGCCCCTGCCAACCATGAATCTCCTTTCTTGTCTCTGTGGACTGGCCTGTTCTGGACGTTTCTACCAATGGAATCACACACTGTGTGTCCTCCTGCCTCTGGCTTCTCTCACTGAGCATCGTGTGTTCAAGGTCCATCCACGTGGTAGCCTGTGTCAGAGCTTCGCTCCTTTTCACGGCTGAGTCATATTCCGCTGTGTGCACGGACCCCATGCTGTGTATCCATCCATCCATGGACACTTGGGTTGTTTCCACATTTGTCGCCGTTGTAAATACTGCTGTTATGAATATCCCTGTACAAGCTTTTCTTAGATGACTGTTTTCAGTTCCGCTGGGTGTGCACTTAGCGGTGGGGTGACTGGGAACCACAGTGTGTCTGTGTTTAACTTTTTAGGAAACTGCTAAGCTGCTTCCCACAGCAGCTGCCCTATTTACGTTCCCACCGACAGGGCACAGGGCCCCAGTTCCTCCACATCCTTGTCAGTGTTTATTTCCCTTTTATTATTACTGTCAGTGATGACGATTAGTAGTAGTAGGTAGTACTGCCGTTCTAGTGGGTTTTGGTTTTTGTAATTGAGCAAATTGTTTTCCTTTTAGTTTGGAGCCTGGGGCCGCAGGATGATTTAACTTGCTGTCCTAAAGCAAGAGGGAATGTGATTGGAGAAGGGTGAGTTCAGACGTACTTGGAGACCACCTGGTATTCGTTACTTGCAGCTCCTGTAATACCTCAGACTGGGGGCTTATAAGCAACACACACTTATTCCTCACGGTCCCGGAGGCTGGACGTCCGAGATCGCGGCGAGGGCAGATTTAGCATCTGGAGAGGACCCTCCTCCTGGTTCCTAGAGGGACGTCTTCTCGCTGTGTCCTCCCACGGAGGAAGGGGCGAGGGAGCTCCCTGGGGTCTCTTTTCTAAGGACACTAATCCGATCCACGGGGGCTCCACCCTTATGACCTCATCACCTCCCAGAGGCCCCACCTCCTGACACCATCGCCTTGGGGGTAAGGGGCCCCCCCAACACGTCTGAATTTGGGGGGACGTGAACGTTCCGTCTACAGCGCCTGGGTGCGAGCGTTCTGATGGGGCAGTGAGCATGGTGGGAGTGTGAGGGCAGCGCCTGAGTTGCAGGGTAGGAGAGAAGACCCTCCTGCAGGGGTTTTATGGACGAGAGCAGAGATGGGTGGACTCAGGCTGAAGCGGGTATGGGGAGACACGTACACAGCTCGGGGGTGGAGACGTCAGCCTGTCCACGGGCTGACTGGAGGGGCCTGATGAGAGAGGGGGTGCGTATGGTGCCAGGGCAAGGGCCTGCCCGGAGGAGGGGGCTGGGCCTCGGGCACACCATGTGCGTGTGGGCAGTGGGGCAGGTGGGAGGGGCTGGAAGGGACGCTCCACGAACTGCACCCCCTCCTCCGACAGAGCATGAGCATCACCTGGAAAACACATGTTACAGGTGCTCCGCTCTCCCCCCCCCCCCCCCCGAGCCCCCCCCCCCACCACACACACACCTGTCGCGTGGAATCCTGCCTTTTCCTCTCACCCCGAGGTCAGTCCAGAACACCTGGAAGTCTGAAACCAGACCGCCATCCCGGGGCAGGGGTCTTTCAGGTACCCGCTACGCCTTTTTTTTTTTTTTTTTTTTTTTTTTAATATCATCCAAATGCAAATGCAAACGGTGCAATGCTTGGCATATGATAGACGTTTTTCAAATTTGCAGCATTCTTTAGAGTGTGTCTGATAGAATCTGAACACCCTAGCGATTTAATAACTATATCCATCCACTTAAAACCCCACAAAACAGCGTGTTTAAAATAATAATGTTATATGGTTTCCTTTTCTAGTTCTATCCACATTCTCAACTCACTTTTCTCCCCGCCAGGATTCTGGGCTCTATTTTTTTGTGCTTAGAAATGTACCTGGTCATCCCATCATACTTGTGAAGTAAGATGTCTATACACGAGGTGACGGAGGTTAACTAGCCTTTTCGTGGTGATCGTTTTGCAGTATACACAAATTTCAAACCAATGTCAATTATATCTCAGTAAAACTAGAAAGAATAAAATATATAAATTGAAATTGTATGAGAATTTACGTTTTTTGTGTTTTTTACTGTTGACAGAAGGTTTTATGTGTTTTCTGTGCTCTGACTCATCGTGAGCAGGTGTATAAATGAAAACTTTGCAAATGTTAAGTAATAACTGACGTTCGATTGGAAATGCGTCCTCTAAACGAGGTGGGCAGGGCTTCCTCTCGTGATGGCTCAGAATGAACTTTTTCCCGGTTTTCCTTGGGTCTGGGGGAACCTGGTTCAGGTACTTGGTGGGAGCAGAAACATGGACAGAAGGGTGTCACTTCCTTTTTAACAATCTCCCAGCACACACCTCCAGGAGGCCCTTCTTCCGTTCCGCTGTCACCGTGTCACTCCCAGACCCACCTCTCCAGGTGACACTGGGACCCTAGAAGCCGTGTCACCTTGGGGAGCAGAGCCCAAGTATGAGGAAGGAGGAGGCACGGTGCCTCCACGGGGGCCGCGAGAGGGAGAAGGGAGACGCTGGAGGCACTTTCCCAGGACGATCAGTTTACAAGAACAAGTTTGGAGCGAAGCCGAGGACTTAGAAATGGACCCGACCCCCTTCATACGGTGTGTGCATCAAGGACCCTGTGAGCTGGCATGAAACCCCAGGTGGGAGATCACAGGGCAAAGACAGGAAGTGGGGACTCTAGCAAGACGGCAGCCTAGGTGACTCAGGTGAGTTGGTGGGGTTTCCGCCGTGCGTGTTGAGCAGGGATACGCATGGTGAGGAAAAGCACAGGTGCCTGGAGGAGCGGGGCATGGTTACAGTGGCGACACCCTCCTCTTTGGCAGAACTTTAAAAATCCAGGTAAAAGCAACTACAAAACGAAAGCAGGTCAAAAATCCCTTTGCATCGACAGTCGCCTGCCAGATTCAGGGTTTGCAGGAGTGAAGATGGCAGTGAAAGGGGTGAATCAACTGCCCGACACCACGTTAACCTCGTTCTTCCCTGGACCCCTCCCTGAGAGCTCTGCGCCTTTTGTCATTTCCTAATCTCTCCTCGAACGCAGGTTGCTAGGTTCCAGCGGACACAAGAGCCACAGTCAAGTCCCAAATCCCAGAACACCTGGTGACCGCCCCCCACCCAGGCCCTCAGGTCTGGAGAACATCTCCGCCGGGTAAAACTGTGATAAATTGGGGGTGGGTTTTATTTACCCACAATGAGATAATGAGCCCACTCGGCTAGAAAGAGGCTCAAGACAAAACACTATGAGACAGACAGACAGAAAAGGAGAAGCAAACCTCCCATTCATTCACCCCAGAAGTTGGCAGGACAACGCTTCTAGGGTGGAAACCTTCCATTTCCTCAATAAACGTGTTCCTTAGTCACAGCGCCCTTGGTTACAATCTAGTCACCTCAGAACTAAGAAAAATCCTGGTTTGTGAAGATAAAATCGAATCAGTTAACAGACGTGTTTCAATTAATCTCTATTTTTTATTGCTAACAACTCCTACAGAGAGCAAGAGAACTTTTAGAAAATAAATGAAAGCACAATTGTCCCTCGGTATCTACGCGGATCCGTTCCAGGACGCACCGCCGGTACCAAAATTCACCGATGCTTAAGTCCCAGAGTCCACCTCCCGTATCCATGGCTCCGCACACACGGATTCAACCAACCGCGGATGGTAAACATAGTATTCAATCTGCGGTTCACTGAATCCGTGGATGTGCAACCCACGGATAAGGGTTGGTTGCACTGGTAACCTGGGAAATCCCACCCTAAGTCATAAGGACGACAAGTGTCTTAAACCCAAGATGAGTCCAAACCACCAGGCCCCCACACGGGCTGTATGGGTGCTCTTCACCGGGTCCCCATGCAAATCACTGCCGTCGGCCTCACAGAAGAGGGGCTGTTGGGTGAAACGGTTCTAAGCCAGGCTCCCGAATCCTCCTTCTTAGGCACGTTGCCTCTAAAAGTATCTGCTGTGTCACAACAAAAAACTACTGTCCTCTCCTCTGCGGAGCTTGGCTTGAAAAGAGAGAACAATCGTGGCTTTTACGCCAAAACCTTGTTTTCCCCTGACGCCCTTGGATGCTGTGTGTGTATCTAGGAGACACACACACGTAACGGACATCTCTTTCCATCAAATTCCTTTCCTCCCCACTTACCACCAGACTTCAGGACAAGGAAAATTATCAAGGTACAGAAGGGCACTGCAAATGACCAAGGAGCCAGTTCTCCAAGGAGACGTGACAATCCTTAACTTGTACGCAACTAATAACACAGTGTCAAACACAAAAGGCAGAAACTGTTAGGCCTTTGAGGAGAAAAAGATGCGTCTGCTGCTACGGTTGGAGATGTCAATGCCACCCCTGTCTCAGGAACTGACAGATCCAGCAGGCGGAGGACCAGTCGGTAAGGGAGGATTGGCCTGGGCAGCACTGATTACGCCTCCACCTTCTGCTGCGTAGCTCAGTGGTTTTGGAGGTGGAATACACATGATCAGTGGAACAGGTTTAGAATTCAGAGGCCTGACTCTGGTCCACAGTGATACCTCCCCTGACCTCAGAGATGTCTGCTGATCTGACTCTCCCTCACTTCACAGAAACCTTCTCTGACCTCACCGAGATCTCCCTTGACTTCAGAGACCTCCCCTACACACACACGTGATGCCACGTGGCCTGCTCCTCAGTCCTGTACTTGCTCCTTCAAGATTCCCATGTTTCAGGGCGCCTGTCTCATCCAGCAACATATCCTGGGCACCCAGAGCGACACCCAGTCCTCCGACTTTCGCAGAGCTGCTGACGGGGCGAAAAACACTTAATGCCAGGCTGCAGGAATCCTGACACAGCTGCCCGTGTGCATCTCCGAGAGGCATCTCCAATCACTGGGCATCTGAGCACGTCCTGCACCCACACCTCGGCTGGGGACAGACCAGACCAATGCCAGCGCAGAGAAGGAAAGTGCGAGTCTATTGTGCCGAACTGAGATTCTGACGATGATGTGACTAGGGTGGAAAAAGCATATGACTGCCCTCCACGTGCTGAGAACATCTGGGTTTGACTTAAAACACAGACAGACGGAGGGATCACTTGCAGCTCGGGGTCCCAGCAGGGGCACTGACACCTACCTGCTACCTCAACTCAAGGTGAGGAGAGAACCACTTCCTTTAAGTCTTTTTTTAAAAAAATTTTTTTAATGGCACTGTAGCTTTAAAAAGACTGCTTCTGTGAACTTGCTACCCGTTTGCGTCCCCAGTAAGCAAAGGGGCTGAGCCTCAGGTCACCTGTTCTCCAGGGCCTTGTTTCACGAAAGCCACAGCGCGCGCACTGACTCTGCGGAGATCAGCGATCTCAGATACGCCAAAGTACGCTCAGGTCAGTGAGGCAGCCCAAAGAACTTGAAAACGAGAAAACACACTAAGTATGGCAAACATCAGTTCATTGGAAAAGGATTTTATTTCACCATAAAAATGCAAACTGGAATAAACACCACCTCTCCTAAGGCGGACGATAACAGCTATTTTTAAGTATTTCTGAGCTTCACTCAGAGAAGCCAACGATTATAAAATTTAACATGTTTGCAGCATTAAATCTGAAACGTTCCAAGTAAAAATAATTTAGCAAAACGGTTTCTTAAAAAAACCACACAGGCTAACTTTGACTAAGAACCAAAACTAATTTTAATCAACCTTTCTTTTTACGCTGAATTACTTGAATTTGTAGAAGAGTGAGCGTCTGGGACCCTCCGTACCACCTGTGCACCTGCCCACACCTAAAAAGACGGCACGTCTGAGTTTCCGCGTTGCAGAACGTACAGCTTCCCCGCCGATGACTTAAACGCACCAGAGCCATTTTCCTTTGGCACCCCACCCAAACTCTGTTCCCAGTCCGTTAGAGAGGGAAAGAACCAAAAAACCAAAAAACACCCGCAGGGCGAGGCTTCCTCTTTTCCATGTCCCGTGGGGCTGTGGCCGCCACACCGGACAGTCCGTCCCCGTGACGTGACAGGCAGCTCCCGTGAAGTGAGTATGAGGCGTCTCCGAGCAGGTGCAGGGATTCGGCGCTGCCAGCCTGTGTGCCCAGGGCGGGGCGGTCTGCAATTCTCACGGCTGGCGGCCTACACGTTCCTCCTGATTCAGAGAGGACTGCTGACGTTAAAGCTATTGGATCAATAGTTTTAAGGGAAACGAAAGCTCGTGACTGGGGACGATGCCTCTGAACTAGACCCACGGCCACGAGATAGAGGAGGCTGGAGGAGGTGCCTTCCTCACCAGGGAGCTCCCTGGGTGTGCTGGGGGGGGGG